GCTTTCGTGGACTACAGCCCACTTCTTAGGATGCATAGAAGAAGTGGGCTGTAGTCCACGAAAGCTTATGCTCTAATAAATTTGTTAGTCTCTAAGGTGCCACAAGTACTCCTGTTCTTCTTTTTGCGGATACAGACTAACACGGCTGCTACTCTGAAACCTCTCATTACATTGTGTGCTCCTAACTCATGCTTAGGCAGCTCCAAACTTTAGTCTTGCAGTTGCTCTATGATGATTTAGAGCGTGCTCACTTGAATTGGAGGAGGATGGGCTTGGTTAGCTTTAGGCTGTAAAACTGCTACTGTTGCCTGGAAAAGTCAAGTGTGATTGATTCATTGGCTCAAGAAGGATAATGATGTTAATCCAAACACCGTGAAAGTTTAAAAGTTATACGTTCTTTTAATTTTCCAGGTGGTGCTAATATCGCCTACCGAAACAGCTAAAGTTCGAATGCAAACTCAGAAGCAATCACATTACTCAGTTACAGCTTCTCACCTCTCCAAGCCAAAGTATCAAGGACCTGTGCATTGTCTGAGGATGATAGCAAAGGAGGAAGGTTTTGGGGGTCTATACAAAGGTTGTTCTGCATTACTGTGCAGGGACTGCCACTCATTTGCAACATATTTCCTAACCTATAATATCCTGTGTGATTGGTTTACTCCAGCTGGAAAAAATAAACCAGGTATGTGGAGAAAACAGTTCAGGATTGCCTACAAAAATAGGTTCGTTTATATTGCATTAACAGGGGAGGCATATTTTGAGTATACATTCTTTTTACCTGTCTCCTGTTGTGCATTGGTTTTCAACCACAAAGCTTACAATTATTGCATTTATATAGTACCATTCATCCAAGCGGCTCCCAAAATGATTTACTTACCGAATGTACAAACTATATATAGTGAAATCTGTATGAGGTGACTATTTTAAAGTATCAACAAGTCTTTCAGTATAGTTTTGATCACCCTTTAATTAGACCCTGCAAGCTAAGTAAAGTAGGGTGGGATTCCTTGAATAAGTGTCATGTAGTGGTTACCCAAAACAGGCTTCCCAGTCAATAGGAATCACATTGCTTAAGAATAAATGCAGCTACGTCTGGGATGAAACAGGACACAGATTTAAAAATGCAAAACAATCTAATTAGAGTCATTTAGGATAAGAAGCAAAGATTGTCATATTTATTTGAAGATGCGGAGACTATTTCATAGAATCATAGAATCATAGAATATCAGGGTTGGAAGGGACCTCAAGAGGTCATCTAGTCCAA